CACAATGAATTCTTAATGTGTACAGGTACCTCTGAAGAAATATGTTATTTGTTTAATATGAAAAGTGTGAAAACAGCTGTGTTTTATCATAAACGTTAGTTATTAATTACAAATGTGAAAAATATATAGCATATAATATTTAATTTTATAAATCTTATATATGTAAGTAATATCTGAATATTAACTGTATTAATTATCTGATATTAAAGCAGATTGTTGAACAAGAATAAATAATTTCCCTTTGTTCATAATAATGTTAGTAAAATTTCATATTAATTTTAATATTAAATCTATAAGCAGAAAAGTATTCTGAAACGAAAATTATAATCAAATTTTGTATAGCACATGATTTTAATAAAAAAAAAATTGTTTATTAGCGTGACGACTGGCAATATATTGCAGTAAGAGGTGCAATTTGGTGCATGATTGTGAGTCACACAAATACAAAAGCATAAATTACATCTTCGTTTATGTTACGTGTTATAACGATAGACGTAATTTTGTGCACCCAACAAACACAATTAATTTATATACATATGTTTTTTCTCATATATCGTTCTTATTTAAAGGATTCAGGATAGTCAGTAGTTAGAAAATTATTAGTATAATACATCGAAAATTCAATCCTTTGCAAATGTGAATTAACAGTGCAACAAAAAGGAGCGACAATAGTGTTAAATTCCCATTAATATGAATTTCCAGCTGGACCAAAAATGTGAGTGTAAAAAACATGGAGAATTGTTGGATAAAATGGTGTTACAAAATATGCATAAAAATATGCGTACAAAATGGTGTCACAAAATATGCATAAATTATACAAATCTTAAAAACTCTTTCAAAGAAAATCTTAGAAATAAAATATTTAATAAAGTATTAAGTATTTCTACGAAAGTGAAATTTATTATTTTGTCGTGTAAAAATAATAAGAATACCAAAATCAAAACTGTTTAATTAACTGTTTTAAAGACATTAAATGTATTAATGGTCACGATGATTGTATAGAATTGATATAGTTCTATGGTTCGACACATGAACATGAAGGAACTGGAACAAGAAATCAAGATCCTATAACAGGGTATCAACGGAAGTTACTTCTATATTCAAATATAAGATATTTCTTTATAATTACGTAACTCTACAAGCTTTGAGATTTACTAACTTGCAGTCTAATAGCAAATTGAATAAAACTACCGCCATTACTTCTATCATTGATACTTTGAACTTATACTATAGTTAATACTTTAAATAAAGAAATTAATTCCAATTTTAATCGAGGAAATTTAACAAAAATCATTGACGATCATAAATGTATATAATAATAATTATACTTGTGCATAATTGAAAGCATTAGCTATATTCTCAATACTAAAATACCGTAGGCTTTTTTGAAATTCACATGAGTAATTCTATTTTTAACTCAAGATCGTTTAATAATAAACTTTATAGAAATAATAAAAATAGTCTGAGCAAATTAGTACATGCAAAAATATAATACTAAGACTAAATTTAGATCTTACTATAAATAATACTTTGATAATGTTTCTTCCATTCACCTCTTACTGCATTTTCTTTTTTTTTTTTTTCTTTTAAATCAATGCTTTCATTAATGCAGCATAGATAAAGTAAAGAATATTCACATACCTCAGCTTTTAATTCTGCAACTTTATCCTGCAATTCTCTGACTCTTTCACTGTCATCTAAATTATTCCTAAGCTCACCTTCTGCATGCATCTCTTCATTCTGTAACGAATAAGAATAACCAATAATTTCAATATTTATATGGCAATGTTTATATTGAAATATTTAAAGAAATTGATATAAATAAAAAAATAGTACTTTTAATTCAAGAAGAGATATCTTTTGAGTGAGTTCTGCTACTTGTTGCGCATGCTCTGCGTCGCGTATCCTAGCCATCATAGCTTCATCCTTCATTTTAGACTCCAAATCGGAATATTTATGTTGCTGCTCCCGCAGTTTGGCAGTAAGTTCCTTCTCCCTAGCTAAGGCAGTCTCTAATTCCTCTTTAATTACTTTCCCCCCTTCGTCTTGTCGACGAAGTTGATTTGTGGCGACTTGCACTTGTGTTTCAAGCTCCATGACCTTGAGTCTAAGCTCCTTCACTTCTGTCAAGGCTTCCATCTCGCGAATTCTAGTTGTCATTAAATCTTCTTCGAATTTTTGAACTTCATGTCCTCGATTCTCCCAAAACAAAAGTTTCTTCGGCGTGGAATCGCTTGCAGGTTGAGCCTGAGCGGAACGATGCTCCTGTAGGTGTCTTTGCCAAGCACTACTCAATTCCATTACTCTTTGCCGAAGATCCTAACAAATTTCTTATATTATCTTATATGATAAGTTTGTTAAATATATATATACTTTACAAGTATTACAAAAATCTCAAATGATTCTTTTTAAATACGGAATATTCACAATTCTAAACGTGTAAAAAAAAAAAAA